CGCATACCGTTGGATAACCTTTGAACTGGCCACGCGATGGACAGAAAACACGCGATCCAGTATCGGCCACATCTCTTCGCGCCATTGCTCTCTGGTCCACACAGCGCACCAAAACAAGGCAGCTGTGGTTGTGCTTGAACAGCTGCGGTCAGGCAAGTCCATGAGAGCAACTTTAAATTGAGCGCCAACTCTACATGACATGTGCAGCCTGACCCTGGAATCATGAAGCCAGTGCACCGGTCCGTCCTTCGCATAAAGAGGCCATTGTGCATCCGTCACCGGTTTTTTTGGATTGAACTCTTGACGTAAGCGTCTTAACCCTAAACCTCCTATATTGTCTTTTCAGCTCTGTCTTGTCGGGGATGCAACTTTGGGCTTGTTCTATGTGATGGTCACTGTGGGCATTCCGGTGTAGAGCGGTCTTTGACTAGCGGCTGTGCTGATTGGCTGGGCCATCTTGACAGTGCGCTTGCTGGCAAGGCTCCTGCTCATCTCCCTTCCCCTCACCGACAACGAGAGGCTCGCCGGAGGAATAGACAAACTCAACGAAGTCGACAAGAGCACCACCTTGGGTGGCTTGGCCATCAAGCAGGCGCTGTCAAAGCAAAACACGCAAAGGCTCAGAAATGGCAAGACCAGTCGCTTTTAACCTTGATCTGGCGAAGCTCTCTTCGGGGCACAGTGTTGCGGGAGACGCAGACTTTATCGCTGCATTCCTCAAGCATGGACTTGCCTAGTGGCTTTCTTTTGATAGGTGCAGATTGCTCAGCTGGCCTGCTCTGCTTTAGCCCCGGTGCCCTCGGCAGAGGCAGCATCCTCGCCTACTCACGTCTGAGCACAGCGTGCGGGACACCAGCTCCAACTTTCTCAAGGCAAGCCCTGCCTTTCTCCATCCATTTTGCATACTCCGACACCTTCTTGTCGTCCTTCTGCAGCTGAACGCAACACGGGCTGCATTCGTGACTTGGAGAAGCCACAGGCGCGACATGAAAAATCCGACTTAATCTACACTCAAATTCGTAAACAAGCAATTGCAAAATGCAAAACCCGACAACCAGAACACAGCACGGAAATTAGTCGTATCAGCTACGGATCCCTGGCCATTGCAGAGAAATTACGAATATCACCAAGGTTGCGCAAGGTTGCAAGGTTGCGCGTGTAAGCTCAGGCCGAGGATCTGTGGCCAGGTCAGATGCCACCTCCGTGCCGGCCTCATGCGCCTGGGTTTCTGGGCTTCCGGGCTTCTGGGTTGGTGCATGCGACGTTTTCCTGGACTGCACCGACACGCATCCTGCTGGCAGCGCTCCTCTTTGACCACAGCTTCTCGCTTCTGCCGTTTGTTCTCCTGCAGGGCCTGCAATCGCTTCTCCAGCTCCACTTCCTCTGCTTCGAGAGCCGCCACCTTGGCGGCCCAATCCTTCACCTGAGCCAGGGCAACGACATACGATTCTGAGGCCAGGAATCTTGCTCCCGGGAAAACAGCACTCTTGGCCGCAACATCTTGGGCTTTGCAGCTTTGCTCTTTCTCACGAGCTAGGAAAGAGCACGTGACCCCAACGGCTTTCAAGCCCACAGAACATGCTCCACTTTCAGGAGCTTGCGTGGGAAGCGACCGGTATGATCAAGCAACATTGGAATTTGACCTTATAAGACTTAAGATTTGGAGCGTCTGCAACCTTCGACCAAACCGGAAATTGCAGGGCGTTGTCTTCTGGCAACATTGTGGGCGAGCAAAGTGGGATGCGGGAGCATCAGCCTCTTGTTTGGCGGTTTCAGAGCAGAGTGCCTCAAGCCAGCTAGAACAGCGGGTGGCAGGCATTGCAAGGTTTCTGTGGTAGAACGATTCCGATGTGAAACCTCATGGAAAAAGCTTTGCCAAGTGACCTCTGCCTCTGCAGAAGCCAAGGCGTCCTGACGCTTTTGGATGCCGCGCTCCATCTCAGCGCGCCTCTGCTCCATGCGAGCCTTGCAGGGACGCTCGGAACCAATCATGCGGGGCAACTGATGCGGTGTCGTTGTTCCGATGTAGAATCAGAACAGGACATGCACTTGACCCTTGCAAAGCTTCATGCAGTTGCAGTAGCAGCAGGGCGCTAGTACCAGCAGTACCCCAGCTCCCTACCAACCATACGCTGGCCAGAGTGTGGAAGAGTTCTCACTGACAAATCATGCATGTGTAAACATGCTGAATTTGATCACCCAAGAGTGGATAGAAGGGGAACTAACACTGCTGTGCTGCTACTCCTGCTGCTACTACTGTCTCGGTTCGCGGTGGCAGTAGCTGTAGCGAATCTGTCATTTGTCGTGGGGGTCACACTGGCGGCTGCTGCTGCTGCTGCTGCTGCTGCTGCTGCTGCTACTCTAGCATAGGAGTAACACAACTTGCCGCAGTGGCAATGTAGTGGCGGTTGGAATTAGAGTTCTGTAGGAAACGCTAAAAGAACCTTGAGCCTGCGCTAACAGAATCAGCAGAACAACCTCCTGCTACTGACGGCATGTGATAGAGGGTGTGTCAATAGCAGCATTAGTACTAATTTCAGTGGTAGTAGCAATAACAACTGCTAACAGCCGCTCACAACCGGTACTGGCGCGCTCGTGCCTTTCTCGCCCTGCCCTGCTCCTCGCACAGGTCGTGGCCTTTCCGGACTCCAGTGAATGCAGCGCTGTGTTGAGAAATCCGAGTTCCTGATCCCTGTCAGAAAGCAAGTAAATATTTAATGCCCAGACAAGGTATTTTCACGGTACTATTTCCGTCTCACTAAATGCGCAATCAAGTTACAGGTCCCCGGCTGCTGCCATTCATCAGAGCCATCGCAGCAATCGCAAATTCCATCTCCGACTCCTCACTTTACGCCGGTGGCACGTGCGCACAAGAGCACAAGATGCCCATGCATTCCAATCATGAAGCTGAAGCTGAATGCTGGTTGGCATGCTGCCAGGCATCGCGAGCTGTACACGTATCTCGGAGTCCCTGCGGCATTTGGACAGTAGAACCACCTCTCATCGAATGTTGTCGTCACAATGGCTTCAGTTTAAAGCGCACGTGCAGGAGCCTTTCATCTGCACCTGGCCGGCCAGCACAGGCTGCAGTTCCAGGCTCGTCGCTGCCATCCTCAAGCCCAACACAGCTGCAGTAAGGTGCCTGAGGAGTGGACAGTCCTGGCAATCACAGAAATCATCGTTCACAGCGGCAGCTGGGAGCTTTGTGGACCTGAGGCTGTGCGTGTTGGAGATTGGCTCAAGACCCAGCAAGACAGCCCTCACCATGCCCACCGCGGGTTTCGCTTGAAGAGCAGTCATGCCCAGCCATCGAAAACCCCGAACCTCAAAGCCCTAGGTCCCTTGTAGTCGCGGGGCCCTTCCTCGCATGCAAACGTCTCGCCCTGGTATCTCGTTGCCTCTGCAGGGCTTACCTCAGCTAGTGCTCCTCACTTGTGAAGAAGTTCCGGGCTTCACCTCTCAAAGCAGCAGAGCGGCTCCTTGTGTGAGGGCCTTTGCTTGATCCAGAAGGCCCAAGAAGCCCAGAACCGCCAGCGGCAGGAGTTCCGGCATGGCTGCAGGAGTGAAGGGTTCAAGGATGGTGCTGTCCCATCTTTTTTTGCTTTGATGGATGACTGAACCTTTTGTCGCAGGCCTGATCCGCTCCAAACAGTTGAGCCGGCCACAAAATATGACGTTGAGGCATCAAAGCTAGCAGCAGTCAGGGTGGACCAACCATCCATACATGAATTATCCCAAGACCTTGACTGTTTGTTTGGTGGCAGGGCTTTTGGTTGGGGAGCTCTTCATGAAACATGTTGTGGGTAGGATGACGCTTGAGGCGGACTTGTGTTGAGCCAAGCGTTGGGAGCAGCGCATTTTTCTGCTCTCCCAGAAGCAGGCGGTAAACTAGACTTCTGGACATGCAAGAACAACTTAGGCATAAAGTAATTTCTGCATTGTTTGCGGAGGAATGAAGAAAAGGTCACCGTGTGATAACTAGTATCTCTTGATTGGTGAAGAATCTGGTTCGACTGTGCCGCCGCAAATTACCGCACCGTTGCGAGATACTCAATACATGCATTGCCATACCATGCTGATGCTGGGAGGATGACAACGATGGCACCTTGGAGGATGATGCGCTAGGATTCTTGATTGTTGGGTGGTAACGTTGATGATGACGATGGTGAGCCTGTGGCACTGAAGATGATAAAGCACGACGCAATGCCATGAGTTATGATGGTATGGTGACAATGATGAGAGGCAGGAAGGCAACGATAGACTATGACTATGTATATGAATGGCTCCTGGCGATGCTACTGACAAACAAACTGAACGGAAAGAGGACGAGTGCATCGATATGCCACTCTAGCCCCTCCCTGAAGACCCCGCAACAAAGAAAGAAGCTTCAGTTCATGTAATCCATTTAATCCATTCCCTTGCCCAAGCCATGGAAACAACAAGTATCATGAGATGAGGGGTTCAGCTAGGCTAAGGCCTCCGTTTCCTTCGCGAAACCTCGGTCCTAGCCTGATGCAGCAGATGCTGCAAGAACAACTCAGGGGGCCGAGTAACCCTTGCCTGTTACTTGAGAGGCGAGCAATCCTGCAAGCCTAAGAACCATCGACAAAAGAGTCACAAGATCATGCTCAAGTTGATTGGGCTGACGAATTCAGCGAGCTAAGGCTTCTGCACTGGTGCTACGCTCTTTTGTTCCGTCATTCAGGCGGGCTAGCGGTGCAAAATTTAAAACAATGGGTTTGGGTACGGTATATGCATCGAGTCCAGTGTCTGTGGATATGGCCGGGTTAGGGTCATGGCGGGTTCACAGCGGGTTCACAGATAGGAGCTGTGGTTCCTGAAGCAATGGCATTTGGCCAGGCAACCCCATTTTGGGGATCAAGCCTCAGCGCAGGAGCTCAGAAGAATTTCTCTGAGCCCCAGCCCAAAGTCCAGAAAGCCAGTGTCAAAAGCTTGAGTGACCAGAGGATTACGTGCTGGGTGTGCTGGCTGTGACTGGCCGCGCTAGCCGGCTCAAAGGCCGTGTGTGTGTGTGTGTGTGTGTGTAAGCGCATCAAACACCATGATTGTTGCAAGCTACGCTACGGTCGGCGTAGTGGAAATGTGGGAAGCAAAGCAAAGAACGCTGCACGACAAAAAAACACTAGCTAGCTTGCTCCACACCCAAGATACTGATTCATCTGGCCTTTTTTTGGCGAGGCTTCTACCTACTAGAGGACAAGTATCATGCTTGTTTCCACAGATTAGCTCCATGTCAACGACCGCAATTAGACGATAGCCTGTAGACCTGCTCCCTGCATTGCTCTCTCCAAAGCCAGCTGTTTTTACTGCCATCTTGATTTGCCCTAGCAGACAGCGACCTAAAGTTAGTTTGATCTTTCAACGCTTGAAGACATGACTTGCCAGCACACGGCACCATCTTTCAGAAATGGCGTGTCTAGACCTCAGCTAAATGAGAGGCGTGCAAGCAAAATCTGTCTACGCTGATTTTGCATGGAATACAATGCCCCACATGAAACAAGACAAGGTGCGCCCCAGGAAGCCATCCTGGCAAGTGCTCATACAGTGAATCTTGAATATGTGCTTCAAGAGAGTTGGGCTGCTCAGGGGACTTTGCGATGTTAGAGGGTGCAATGGCTCATTCTGGGGGGGGGGGAGCGACTGAGTGGCAGAAATGGGGTGCTTCCACCTGGCCAATCACACAGAAACAGATCCGGCCTCCGACCCCAGTTGAACTTCCGATTGCCAAGATCGATCTCGAATCGATACCATAGCGCCCCCACCAGCGTAATCAATATGCCAAAGGCATTCAGCGGAGTGATCCTTGTTCCAAACCTGGGAGACAGGTTGGCGGTACGCAGCGAAGTGGAATCTCCTATATTTGTTCTGGGGCGCGTGATGATCGATGCTAGTACCAGAAGCGGTCTTCGCATGGACCGGACCATCGAGTGCACCACGGTGGACGTGTGGACAAGGATGATGATGGAGGCTACATTAAAGATCCATACCTCCGGGCATGGAGCTCACTGAAACACGAAGACTCTAAGCAAGTGAAAATTCAAGCACTCTCTTTGCATGCAGCGGTGCTAAGGGCCCGATTGTAGCTGCAAGCGGCCACGCCACAGAATCTTCTGCCAGTTCCAGCACTGCATGCCTTTGCTCTTTTCCCTTCACCACCCGGCTTTCAGAATGGTTTTTGGCTCAAGCTTTGGTTGTGCGCCTGAGTAACCGAGAAAGCGGCTATAACTCTGTACTTTCAGGGAGTAAGAGCTTGCTGACGGGCTGCACATTGAAGAGCAATGCCGCAGGCAAAGAGACCTCAAAAATAAGAAGCTGGACCAACCCGTACATAGATTCGGGGACAGATTTGCAGCAATAGCAAAAACTCTTGCGCAACGCTGGTGGTGTCATATGGTGTCCTCATTTGTGCAAGGGTTTGCAGGCTCCTGTCAGTCATCCTCCTTGACAACAAGCCTCTTGCTGCCCAACGGCTACAAATGCAGCTAGCTGAAGGTGGGCCATAAAATTCAGAGGATCCATGACGTGGGTGTCCATGGTTTTCTTGGTCAGCACTGTCCTGTCAGGACAGGCTCAATCGAGTTGAGTAGCGCAGTGACGCAGGGAACTTGCACTGCCCTTCCTAGCCCCCAGACGAAGCCTCAGGGAGACGCAAAGGTTCGAGACCATTGCGGCCCAAAAGCCTGTCCATGTAAACCTTAGCAAGCAACGATTCGTGCTTACGCTTCCTAGGATCTGAACAGGAATGCAGGGAGGAGCTAATTGTACGTAACATTAGCGTGTGTTCGCTGTATGGCTGAGTGTGGCGCGAGATCTCCGCTGTGGAAGCCACAACGATACCAGCTATCACTAGCAAGAGGCTTGCCCACGCACCTTGCATGCTCTTCTGACCCAAGGCAGAAGCTGCTAAAAGACATTCGCCACTGTAATTGACGGTACGACCGCAACGGATTTGAGCTGCAGACTGATTCGCATGTTCAACAAGCCCTTTGGCATGCGAAAAGAGGAGCACTTGCGAATTTCTTTAGGCCAGGCACGCAACGAAGGCCAAGTCCCAATTAGCAGGGCAGTGAAGAGAGCCGTGAAAAACGGCTCGGCTGCCTGCAGGCTTGTGTCCGCTGAATTCTGCAGAATCCGAAGCCGTGCTTCTTGCTACAATAAATTTGATGGCTCAAGTAGAGCTCTGGTATAACAAGAGTCTGTCTCGATCAACCCTTGCTCCTCGCACCTTGACTGTGTGAGTGAAGGAGATATGCACTTCAGACACCGAGATGTTGGAGAAGAGCATTCCTCCCCAATGGAAAACTGCGAGCCCAAACAGTCGCCTTGGTGATGCAAACATACCCATGCCCTGCGAGCAGCTTTCACATGTGCGTGAAACATGCGCAGTCTCGTGCACTAAGGCGAGTTGCAAGTAGAAATCGAAACTCATCCGCCCGGGCCAGCTTATCAGCCCGAAGACCCAGCAAAGGATTGCGCACATCGACGAGGAAGCCAGGTTTACGCCTGTGACCTGTAGCCGGACGAGCTTAGCTTTCAACATCAGATTCCACTCCATCTCGAGGATCGCACTAACAGAGGGTGCGGGTGCGCAATCAGCAGGCGCTTGTTGATGACGTTGTAGGCAATATTCGCCCCATAGAGCCTTGGTGCCCAGATCAAGATTCCTGAAGTCCTGGCGTCGCGCCGCTGCTTCAAAAGTGCTGCGCTAGGCTCGCGCGGATGTGTGCAGGACTGTTGATCAAAGCCCAGCAGCCCAGCCGCCAGCAAGGCCCCGCTTTGTGGAGTAGGTGGGTTCGGTACATGCTCCTTTTCGCACAAAGTTTTGAACCTCCCCTATGCACGGACATGATGCATTCTTGCAAGGCTTAGCTTTCGCTCCTCGACCTCGTGCGGGACGCAAAGCCATCGCTGCTGGGAGTAGGAAACCTGAAGGAAAAGGAAATGTTGACCCCGTTGGCTGGCAGATCATTTGTGTTGACCTCATATTGATAAACAGTATAATCCTTCACGTGATTGCGTCTTTCTCGCCTCTCCCCACCACACCCCACGCCCAATTTGCACAATCCAATTGATCAAGACAGATAAACCTGGAAGGAATCTGGCTTAAAGGCTCAGTAGCTAGAGGCTTTTGGCTGTTTGCCCAGGGGAGACAAGGAGCTTGACACACATATGGCCTCATTATGGAGGTTCGTGGACATATGGGTCAAGGCATTTTAGGGGGATTTTGTGGGGGTATATCGGGTATTGATAACCTCATTAGAACCACATAAGGGCGCTGGGTACACAATCCCGTCTCCACTCTCCCTGGACGTCGCTGCAATCAATAGCTGCCGCATGCGCGTGCCTCTCTCTGCCGCACAACCAACAAAAAGCGGACACAAGACCCTCAAGCCTTTGGCAGTCACATGCTGTGCCTTAAACCTCACGTTTGAAAGCCAAAGCATGCATCGCAAAAATAACCCTCCAACCCTGAATCTTGATCTAAGATCCTACAGTCTGCTTGGAGATCCGTGGGGCTTAGTAGTTAATTAGAACGTGGTCGGTACCCCAACTTCAGGGTAGCCGGTAGCCCGTATACTGCATAACGCCACTCAAGGGGATTGTAGAGACTAGCATTTTTATAACTACACAAGGAGGGAAACGATTTCAGGTCGACTGAAGTTTTACATACAGTAGATCCTGATCAAATTTCAATCTTAATGTGTCATTACTTGGGTTTCAGATAGATTCGGAATAGATTTGGAATGATTTGTACTTGGGTATTAATTGAATTCTCGTTGGACTTCTTTTTGTTTTTGAATAGACTCCAATTAGGTTTCAGTGATCTCAAGTAGGTTCCAATGAGATTTCAGTTGATGATGTTCTTTAGGTGATGGCTCCAAGTAGATTCCAAACACTTCAAGATTAGAGGCAGCACATCTAATTCTTTCAAGAATTTTCACAGCACCCTAATATAAAAAATCTTCTAAAGGACCGGATTATGCAATACTACGGGGGGGAGCTGGCAGGAGGGCACCGGGGGAAGCGATTCCTGTAAACCGCAGCGCCTCTGGACAGGGCTAGGCTAAGGAAGGTCGAAAGTTGATGTGAGCTCCTAACCTCGTTTCAGGATGAAATTTACAAAGTCGCCGCCATGTGTGGTGGTTCGGGCTTTGAGCATCATTGGCAAGATATGTATGTCAGACATATTCACACTATGCGCACATGTAGAGAGTAATTAGTGCAACAAAAGCAGCACTGTAATTACAACTGTGCAATGCTGAAGACATTGCGTTTCAGAAAGCTATGCTAGAACGTTGCGCTGGGAAGCAGCAACGGATTTCGTAGCACCCTGTCCGAGACTAATCAACAAGATTCTTGTAGAATCTTCATCTCACAATCCTGAATGCTCCCCAAACAAACAGTGTAGAGCTTCCCGCGCCCTGACCCTAGCATCCCTGTTTTTCTGCGCTGATGATGATACCGTCTGCTGGCAAGTATTGGGCCCCACAAACTCACAAGCGAACAATGACATCTTCAAGCCTAAGACTACTGTGGCGTACCTCGGACCAACTAATGAGGCGACGCAAATTTCGAATCAGAACTCCTCACACTCAGTGCACCTGGAGGGGTGAACCTTGGACTTATGAGGACTAATGCGGCCCACAATGTGACGACTCAAACTCCAAAATCAAAAATCCTCACACCCTTGGACTACTGCGGCGAACCCCAAAACCCTGTAAAAAACTATATCCAGCAAATACCAATGAAGACGCCTGCAGAAAAATGATATGCAAGTCACGGAAAAATCCTGACTTTCCAAGAGCGTACCATGAGCCAAATGCACTATAAGCATCAGTATTTCCAGCTTCTTTGGTCTTCACAGTTCGAAAACAGCCAAAAACTCCCCAGCTGGAAGAGGAAGGTAGAAAATGCCGTCTGTAAACAGGAAACAAACTGCCAAGTGAAATCTGCATGGGGGCCGTCATGTTGAACCACAGGATCAAAAAATGCACAATTGTCAAATGCCAACACCATGGTGGTTGCGTTATTGCTAAGTGCAAATGTGGCCCTTGCGGCTGAGGTGCTGCATATCCGACGGTTGCAAAAATCATCATTATGGAGCAATCCTGAGCTAGAAGTCAGCAAAGATTGATTGATTGCGCTGGCCCAGCGGCGGGGAGGCATCTCTATGCTTGCCAAGCATCATGCCAAAGCATGCTCCAATTCAGCATACTATGTTGCACATTGCTGTGGGAAACCGGGATGCCGCGGTAAGACTTTGGAAACAGCAGCGAGAAAGCATCAGTAACATCGGGGTCTGGCTCTGCCAATTGCCCCACCCAGCTAGACAGGCGGGAGAGGCCGATGTAGAAGAAGACGACCTTGGACAGGCATCACGCAACACTCTGACTTATGTCTATTCATCTTTGCATCAAGCCGCACACCTTTGCAGACGGGCTGCCAAGCACAGCGCTGTTGGCGTTTTACCCCTTGATCGCCGCAGCATCTCTGTCAGGTGATGCCGTCTTCACTCCATCGCTCAGCTTCTGATTGCGGTCCGGATCCCTTCAAGCCAAACCCTGCAGCTGATGGACCAAGTTGCATGTATGATTTAACGACCTTTGGCGATATCAGCAAGCAACGCGCGTCCGACTTTCTGGCGCATGTCGGATAGCAACTTCAGCGCCATGCGTGGTGATACTTGCTGCATGCCAACCGCTGGGCCACAGCATCGATCCAGCAAACTTCAGCTGGCACAACATTCAAGTGAATCCTGTGAACATTTGAGACGGGCTCTGAAGCCTAGCTGCCTAGCTGGGCTTCTCGCAGCATTCCTTGTCCGTGCTGCCCAGGAGCTGAGCTGCATCTTCCTGAAAAAAGTGGGGCCCGTTTCAGATATAGATATAGGTGATATTGTAACTGATGGGGAGGAAGTTGTGGGGCATGCAGCAGTCAAGTGTGCAGGCTAGGTGCCTTCAGCTGCAGCGCTTTCTCCTTACAGCAGTAGTCGCTGCACTTCAGCTCATCGTAGCACTCGGCTTCGCTGGTCCCAAGCCTCTTCCAATCCGCTCACTTGCGGGACGCCACATGTAACAAGTGGCAACACAGGTCATGGCTCAGAATCTCTTCTAGAACGTAAGACGCAGTTTCACATTACTCTGCTGCCTCAGCACATGAGCATTTCACCCCGGCCAAACCCCGGTCGACCCACGCCTGGGCTTTTCCTGGGTTTCAGACTTCCGCCTGTACTTTGTTGGAAACTTCGTTGTGTACCTCAGCTTCGGAATTACAGCAGCTGTTGAGAACGTACTTTCTGGGCTTCTCGCGGCCGAGCTGCTCACTGCAGTACTTGGGATGGCAGCACTCCTCATCTGTGCTTCCTTGGAATTTGAAGTGATTGGTATCGACCTTCTTGTACCAGGTGGTACTTGTCACATTCCTGCGTGAATCGAGCAGCAAACTGCTTTGATGCAGCGTCTGCTTGAAACACACAGCTGCCGGTCCTTTCAGGATCATCTCCTGTACAGGTGTAGTCCTTGCACCACCGTGGATTGCAGCACCTAGGTGGCTTCATCTGGGTTGCTTTTAAGGAGCTTAAATCAAGTTACCATGATATGAGTATATAGTAAACAGATAAGAGGCTTTCCTTGCTAGAGTAACTTTGCTTCAATTTCTCAACAGCAACCCAGTCATTGCGGTGGTTAGAGGATGGCGTGGCCAGCATGTCTGGACCGGCGGCTTTCCTGTTGGTATGCTACCATGCGAGCTATAGTTTAAACTCCTAGTATCCTGCTTGATAACCCCTACGTATAGTAGTCCCCTAGATAAATCCCCTATGTAACCCCATTCAAGGAGTTTAGACTATAGCTCATGTTATAATCCGAGGCCGCACGCGCTGTCACCACAAAGCAGCGCCACTTAATAAACACAAGCATCACAAGCAAATAAATATCGCCTAATTACCAGCTGCAGGCAGGTGTCTGCTTGCTCGAGCTGCCCTGGAGGCCATCAAGTTCTTCGGCCGATTCTCAGTGCTCAAACAACTACTAGGCTACTAGTACTAGTTTCACGCTAGCTTTTCGGACCTGACTGCCGCTCGCTTCTGCCCCTCAATGCCGACCATGGCTCTGGGTGCCCACAAGGACTCAGGTACGCAGTCGATGGCGCTGCACATGAGAGGTGTGCAGCACTCCTGACATCTCGAATGTTTTGAGCTCTACGTCCTGAGTTTATAGCTTGGCCAGGGCCAGGGCCTCGTCGCTCCAGCCTTTCCGCTGCACGCCCCGGCTGCTCTCATCCGCCTGCTGCACCCACTTCGTGGGGTCACTGCCTTAGGTGGAGCAATGTCGCTTGAAGAGACGCCTCCACCTTCAAATGCTGCTCGAAAGCTACCCAAGAAAGCGCAGCCCTCCTTGCAAGAAACTGGCTGGAGACCAATGACTAGCGGCAGCCGGGTAAACCTTAAGCCCTGCTAAAGGCAGTGGCTGCCATGCTGGCAAGGGTGCACTTCCAATCATGGCATGACTTCTTCTCGCAGCACTCATTGCTGGTGCTGCCCATGAGGCCTCTGCCTCCAATCACCGCACCGGCCCTCGGAGAAGCAAATACTTTGCAATGGCTCACCATAGTGTAACTCACTACGACAGAGGGTCCATAGTCTGAAGAATAACCCTTTATTGATTGTACCGCTGGCTCTCTTTATCTGTTACCTGTTATTCTCAGGACGACATGTATCTGTGTCAAGGTTTGCTGAGGACCCGTGTAACATGTTGCCTCAACGCGGAATAGCTTTGCAGCGGCGCGATTCTTAATCCCAAATGAGGGAGGAGTGAAATTCGAGGTTGAGTCCTTCAACCGCGTGTCCGAAGCTGGAATCCGGCTTCGCACTCGAAGTCCTGAAGGCTGCGGTCTACATGGGAGTCCCCTCGAATTACAAGAAGGGTTGTTGAGAGTAAAGAAATGTTCCACGAAGGGGGTTCCAGAAAAGTGGTTCGGAGCGGACATATTGCGTGGTGCATTGTGGGCATGATTGTGTAGGCAACCTCCCCTCCTGAGTAAAGGGACATTGCGACGGTTGTGTTTTTAATGTATGTTTGGGGGGCGAGTATCCAGGCATGCATCGGGCCATGGTTCAGGGAGGCTGAACATGCCTTTTCTTTACATGCTCAACCTCTCAGGTCTCAAGCATTGAAATAGAGAATGATGCCACAAAAACCACGTACGGCTCAATCAGACTTTGTCCCTAGCAGCAACTGTTAGAACATGTTAGAACATGTTAGAACCTACAATCTACAACTGTTACACCGACTGCATGATGGCGTACTACTGTGACTGGATATCGCGAGGTCAGGTGAGCATGGGATGATTAGGGATGATTTCAGGTCGCAAGCTCACATTGGTCGTAGGATTTGCTTGCACCCCGAACTGGAAACCGAAAGTCCTTGCACATTTTCGGTGTGCAGCAGCTGGGATTACCTTGCGCAAGCGAGCAAGCACGTTGCTCATGTTGGCATGAAGCCGGCTTCTTGCGGCACGAGGGGCTGCTGCCGAGGATTGCTTTGGGGTTAGGCTCCCATTTGGTGGCGGGAGAGCAGCTGTGCTGCTTACAGAACTGGGGGATGCAACAGTCCTGAATTGCTGGTCACGTGGCCAGCCAGAAAAAACCGCCGAAAAGATGCTTTGAGACACTGCAAACATCCCTGTCCTCGAGGCTCGCTCCAAGACTGGCACTTTGATTTGTTTTCCACTCATCTGTAGCTTCGCAGTCGATATGCTTGCCTTGGAGAGATCATGCTATGCACAGGTAATTAAGCTCACAAGCTTTTTACTGAAGGTCGTAGCGGTTGTGACGGTTATCTAATATATGTAATTAACATTTCTGGCAATGCCAGGCTTCAAGAGATGGGTTCGCAGCACTCGGAGTCAGAGTTGCCCTGCAATAGAAGCGGAGAGCCATCTTGGCCGTGCCTCACAGGGAATGGCAACGACCTTCAGACCTGACTCGAAACTTGGGAGACTTGGAGGTGAACCGGTATTACACTATTATGTAAACCTATACTATACTATAATGCTACACGGTAGAGAATATGATAGTATGTCATATCAGCCTCTTGGCCTCTTGGGCTTCTTCACATACTTGGCTGTGCACTTGTAGTCGTCGCAGTCCCGGGGGAGACAGCACTCTTCTTTGGTGCTTCCAAAGACGTTTCCCGGCTTTGGCTCCCAAAGGCTGGATGTGCAAAGATCTTTGGAGCAAGGCTTCGGTGTGCAGCACTGCTCAGGCCTCAGATGAGCTAATGAAGCTCAAGCCCCAGGATGTCTGTTCCCCCTGGTCACCATGAGTCTTCAGGAGATTTGCAAAACAGAGACGCTCGCATGAGCATCTGCTTTGCGACGCCACACTTCAGCTCTTCCGCAGAACTTTGGATTGATGCTACAACAAGCGCTATGATGCAAGCCATTTCGGGCCTTTCCTGAAAGATGCCCAGCTGCTTGCTTCCAAATGCCGTGTCATAGTCTGACCTCATGAGTTTAAGATGGACCCTGGTCTCTTCCTGCAGTCATTGGCCACACATGCCACACCCACACAAAAATTCCAGATGCCTCTTCTCATACATCGTCGCCGGCGAGCATGGTGCCTCCTCGATGCACTTCATCCGCTCGCAGCACATGTTCCTGGCTGAGAAAGAACAGCGTTGTCTGCGAGCGCCTTTGCCCATCGAATCTACTGGCCTGGTGTGCCCTGTGACCTCCTCGGGGTTCTCACGGCGCTTCCAAACATCGTCGTTTAAACATGCAGTCTTCTGCTGATCGAAGAAAGTGTCACAAGTCATCGGTCCTGGGTCTATTCACATGCGTTTGAAAATGTGGTCTGAGGGACACGTGCGAAGAATTCACCAGATGCTCTCATCAAGTTTCAGGCATTTACATCGCACATGCCAGGCAACTCAAGCAGATGTTTGTCAAGTGGATCGCCCCCTCCAGAGTGATGGGGTCGTGCCCGCGATACTCCAGTCGTGTACTTCCAGGCAAGGTTTTCACCTTGTCTGTAATGGTAATCCGCTGTCCGACTTGCTCCTTCTTCACGGTGAAAACCTGAGCTTTGCGCAATTGCGGGCTAAAGAGGTTGGTGAATTCTATCTGATGCAGAGCCGCATGGAAGCCTTCGCCCCCTGCGAAACCAAACTTGCGGTCTTCTCGTCGTTCGATGGAGTCAGCCACCATGCTCAAGGTCCATGGTTTCCCGATCTTCCAGTCCTTAGAGGGCGCACACGCCGCAATTTATTTGTCTTCTGGTGGACCTTAGCCTCAAAACTACATCGCCGAGCATACGTTGGCGACTATCAACAGAACGTCATTTATTCTGACCCCGAGACATCCAATAATGACCAAACAGAAACTTCAACGGAGCGGTATGTTGTTGTTGGTGCGCGTGCTAAAGCTAGTGTTAGTGAACGTGCTAGTGCTAGTGTTTTTGCTTGTGTAATTTAATTGCTGTCTTTATTAGTATGATTAGCTTTCGGTTATTATTATCATTATTGTTTTGTCTATTGCTTGTTGTTCTCCTTCTTATTGTTGGTTGTTGTAGGACGAGGACTGCGACGCCTATTTGTAGCTAGTTTTGCGGGTAGCGTTGAAGTCAAGAGTTCTGGATTGAATGGCCAGGGCGCGCTTTCAGAACTTTGAGGGAAATCTGGACAGTTTGAGGAAGCAGTTAGGGGGAGCGGCAAGCTAATCAATATCCTGCAGGTTTGGCTGCAGTAGCAATGAGGACAGCCAGGTATAACAGCTTCTAACGCTTTGTTCAAGTTTCAGCTTGGTCATTTTGGATGTCTTGCTGTTTGGGGGATCATGCTATTGTTTTGTCGGTCTTCGCCGTCATAGTTTTTCTAAACTAGCCAAAGTCGCTGCCATTTGCAGGACGTGGTAGCTTTGTATTCAGCCAATGGGATTGAGTGGTGCTGCAGGCTATAAGCAAGATCAGCAAACGCCCTGGCCTCAAACTAGTCGCTGAGCATATTTTGCAAAGGCCAGACAGAAACAGCAGCTGCTCCTACTACTACTACTGCTACTGCTACTGCTACTGCTACGGCTACTACTACTACTACTCTACTACTACTACTACTACTACTACGACGACGACGACGACGACGACGACGACGACGACGACGACGACGACGACCACGACCACGACTACTACCACCACTACGGCGACGACCAGGGCTACTACCACCACTTCTACGCTTACAACTTCTCAGCAGTTCAGTGATCGCATCAAACGTTTGCGTCAGAAGGCTCAGTTCCGGTTTGAGTCCCAGATGCCTCCATTCAAACGCGCACAAGACATGAACATGCACCTTAGGATTGCCAAACGCCTTTCCCGCAAAGAACGACGCATGCAAGCACGCGCCGATGCCAGGTCCAAGGACAGGTCACGTCAGGGTTGGGGTACAAAGGTTTGTTGCTAGCAAATGGTTGGGTATAGTCCTGCTGTTTTCCCTGATCCTGACTTACTTTGCGTGTATGATGCCAGATGCACAGCACAGGCCCCAAGGTTTGGCCATGGGCCACGTCAGCCCGCTCATGTAGGTGATGCAGGCCCAGCATTCGTAGGAACAGCAACACTAAAAGTGCCTCCCGCGTGGTAGTGTGTACAGAGAAACCAACACTGTTCCTTGAGGTCCTGGATTAGTGATCTCATCATGTGGAGTACGGCTACGGACGTTGAGCCTCAGCTCATGGGTCCCATAGCCGCTCTGACTACAATTACAACTACGGCTGCGCCTTCGACTGCTACTACGGGTACCACCGTCGCCTATACCACCACCCATGCCCCTGCGACCACGACTATGACTACGGCTGCTGGTACTGCTACTGCGACTAAACCTACTACGGCATACTATGGCTGTGGCTGGCTACGGCCTCCCCTCACTGACCCAAGCCTTTTGCCACTCCGGTCCGACACCGAGAGGGGCCCACTTATCAAGCAGAATCATAAACATAGACCCCCCACGCATCGCCTTCCCAGTGGCCGGCGCCCCAGCAAGCACGTTAGCGCATGGTCTTGCTGTCATGCAGCATATGCTGCGTTGGCCTCAAAGCGCCCAGGCTGCGGCCCCACCAACCGGCCAACGTTGATGAGCACATGCGTACTAGCACTGCGTGGGTAGGGCTGAATCGTTTCCTCTTATCAGAGGCCAACTCTCAGAAGCCAACTGCTAGAAACGCACTCTCAAAAGCCTTTTTTTTAGAAACTAAGTCTCCCAAGCTCCTGCGCGTTGGTCCGATGATGGGCCCTGCAGAACCACGTCGCGGTGGAGGGCTGGCGAAGCTGCTGCCCCGAGCGTAACAAGCGTGGACAGCAGCCCCGACTAGCAAGTGGCCCACCCACATGCAGGAGAGGGTGGAGGGTTGTCAAGTGATGGGGAAGCAGTGGGAGAGGGTGGTGGGGTAGGGGCAGGGGATGAAACAGAAGAGGCGGAAGAAGGGAGATGCCTAATTACCCGAATACGTGATACCAGGGGAACTTAATGTCCTACATGAAGAGAGATAGAGAACAAGAATTCGCCATGCGGTTGCCAGCGGTCGCGGGGAATGCGAACTGGAAAACGCACCACCAGCACCGCATGTGACGGTAAGTATGAATCGTAGATAGTATGCTGTTGGAGCAGGTTGCAGGCACTACTACCTTAAGCATCCGTACTCTAGCATGCCAAGGAGGGCACTGCCACTAGTACTGCTTTCCCTCTGCCACACTCAAGGCCAAGTAGAAGCCGAAAGCAGTAGAGCCGTGGGGGTCTCAAAAGATGAAGAAGAGAAGTGCCCCAGAAGGACTATCGCGCGTGCTTCCTGAGTCCTTGATGTCATGTCTGCAGTCTCCATGCACACCCTATACCTTGCTATGACACGCGCGTCTGCTGACATCACTTTGGGCTCCATTGTGAGGCTCCATATTTGCTAAAGCTCGGGGTGGCTCGCAAGATTCGTCTGCAGCTGCTCTAGGACGTCCGCAGCAAGGATGTCTTTCAGGTAGCCCTAAGTGGCAGGTCTTCATCACCAACGCGCGAATGGCAAGGAAACAGTGCAATGTATGTCAAGCTCTTTATGCCGTCTCTGGTGCCACCCCTTCAACGGTAACGTTGACTGCTGGGAACTGGTTGTCCGGGCAAGAGACTGCAGCTTTGTGCCTTGGTAGTGCAAACAAGGAGTTGTGACGACCCCCTGCCATTCCAGTCGTCACATCTTTGTTCGGATTGACTACCGCATTTTGACTGTGTCTGCCAATGCTGATATCTTAAATCTTCGATGTTCAGAATTTGCTGGGTCTGACTGCCTCACACTTACTTCAAAGGATTCCGTGTGCCTTTGTGAGAAGGTTGTGCAAGACTTTCACAAAACGTCATGCGAAAATTCTTCAAAACAAGCATTAGGCTGCTCCAACTGCTCTGCATGCCAAGCTGGGGCCCCCTGCGACTTATGGGCCCTCTTCGCTGATAGCCGCGCCAGAGCAGCCGCCTCCTGAACTAGTTTCATTTTGGCCCAAGCCCGGACCGCACCCGGCTTCACTTCAAAGCTACGGCTCCTTCACCAAATCATGTTGAAGTTTGGGGCTGGCCCTCCTGCGACTGCACTGCCATTCAGACGCCAACACTTTTAAGCTTCAAATCATGTCCTTGGCAGCTTGGCTGCTGTTACAAGGACACTTGGAAGGCACAAGGCCAACCAAATAGCCTGCATCAAAAGTTCCAGGGTCATGCACGATTTTGGCCTCGACCTGAGCACTTAGTTCGAATACCTGCCTTCATAGGTGCCGGCCCAGGTGGGCTTCGGCCTCAGACTATTTTTCCAATCATGAGGATTTAGGGTGCGGCTGAGAAGTGCTAAGGCTACAGCACCCGGAGCTTCGTTGTGGTAACTGGCCCGCCAGCGAGGCATTCAAGCCAGTGCCCTGCTGCGCTTTGAGCCTACAAGCACCAGTCGCAAAGGCACTTCTAACAAACAATAGCGCATACTGTGATCAAAAAAGGACTTGCGCAAAGGGACCGCTAATTTCTGAACACCCCCGCTCGGCTCTCCAGCAATCAGCACGCACAGGCTTGCAGCAGCTTGCACGGCAGCTGGTTTTTTAGGTCAGCACAGGAGTCTTTGTCGGCCTTGTCAGCTCGTGACACACCTGTCACTAGAAGCTAAGATCTTACTGTCTTTACGGTCACGTCAAGGACCACTCCATCTGGCAACTTGTTACCCGAGATGGTCCGTATTGCCAACTCCGCATCCTCTGTCAGACCGAACTTTAGCAACGCTGCGCCGGTACAGGCACCCGCTCCGTCCCTAAGAAGCCGGACGCTCTGGATTGCTCCGAAGGGTGAGAAGATTGAGTACAGGTACAGCCTCGGCTGCTTCAAGACAAGCACCCCTGATATGGGCCCCAATGTACTAGAATCCTCTTTATAGGTTGTATCCCCACAAGGGGAACCAAAGCCATGCGCCCAGTTTGGACAGGGAGCTCGTCAGCGTTGTTTGGCAAGCCCTTGATGTAGAGGTTCGTGGGATCCATGGTGTGGGCCAGAACAGGTCTGAAACCCTTAACGCGGGAGACCTTGGCTCAGGTGAACTTTGTGCTAAAAGACTGTGCAGTACAACACTTCTGCTGCTCTTTACACCTTGCTTGCGAATTGCAGCAGTATTTGTCAATCAGCGCACGTGCTCGGCCTGAGGAACCCTATTACTGCGGCAAGGAACCGTCTCACTCACGGCCACCATGAACTCAGTGCCTGAAAAAAAACAAGGCTTGACGAACGCAAAGGCACAACGTCTGCAAGACCATTCAAACTGCAGCGAGCCTCTTGCCAGGATGCTCGCAGTGCTCGGAGTGCTTGGGTAGCGCATCTCACGGGGTGGTGCAGACCCAGCGGCCGGGCTGGGAGGCGGCGCTCCGGCCTCCGGACCGGCCTCCCGGATGTGTTACTTTTCATGACGTAGGCAGGAGGCAACCCCAAACCCCTCCAGTTCTCCCAATGGCCTTGCCATATGGCTCATAGCGCTCTCGGGGAGGCGGCGCCTCCCTCGACTCCGTGAGGCGCACGGACAGGGGAGCATCCAACCCTCGAGCGCAAGAATTTCATGGGGGAAGGTGAGAAGGATGACAGGAACTATCTAAGGCTGCAATCTCTCTGCCTGGCAGCACCTTGCCATTGTACTCTGCGATTAGTCTTTCAGCTTCGTCCCGAGATGATAGACGAAGTAGGGCCTCATCTCGTCACTTATCTTCTCAGCGTTTGCTTTGCCCCGGATGCTATTACCGCAATGGGCACTTGCTTCAAGGACTGCAAGAGAAGGAAGCAGAGCGGCGACGGCTTTGCCGCTTGCCATGCCATCATCTAACACCTTTGCTGAGACCTCGTGGGGCTGCGCAAGGCTTTTCACCTTTTGTATTCCGGACTCTGCCAGTCTTGCCTGGCCAAACGCGGCGAAGAATGTTTCTAGCTGCTCCTTGGAGGTGCCTGACACGGTTGGCACAGCAGCCAGGAAGACAATCTGCTGATGTGCAGGGCGCCTTGTGGTAACCCTGTGACATGCAAGGTGAAGCCAGGCCGCGCATCCTCCCCTGCGATCAAGCTGCGAATCTTTTGCCCATTTATCCAAAATTCGACGTCAGCTAGGTCACCGCTAAATCCAAATACAATTTCACGCTGTACCACGCATGTTGGATTTGCCGCCCAGTAGGCAGCGCCCTCCATGTTTCAGATTACATGTGAAGCAGTGTCTGACTTGCATCCAGAACTCCAAGCAGCAAGCTCTGAAGGTTGGCTCTGCGCTGGGGACTTGTGCTGCTTTGTCTGAACACAGACATTGTGGTGCTTCTTCGGCTGACTTGATGTTGCTGATCAGCGTTGTCAATTACCAGGCGAATTGCCACTACATAGTTGTATTCTCGAGAGATAGGGCGGGGGTTCTGCCTACCTGATTGCAGTGCATTTGCAGCATAATAATTAACAAGCGCATTTCCCCCGACGGCATCGCGATGAGGAGGCAATACAATACGAACCAATGACAGTCTTCCGCACATTGAAGCATGAACTTGTGTGTCGAGCACTTCTTCGCGAAACCTATCATGCTGGTCCCTCCCCGAGCCCGCCAGCGCCGGGAGACCACTGTGCTGGTCCTGAAGTTGCAGCCGCGGCTGCTGCTAGCGCTTGCGCCACAGCCACCACAGCTGCGGGCGGGGGCATCCCCTGATCCTCAACATGCAAAGCGATGGTTTGGAGCTAGTGTTCTTTATCACACTGCAGCAGCTGCTGCTGCCACTGCTGCTGCCACTGCTGCTGCGCGGTAGTGCTAAGGTGATGATTATTGTTGGCCCTTCTTGCTCTTCGTTGTGAGTTCTTGGCCGGGGTCGGAACGTGGGAAGGTGGCGCTTGGTGGCTTCCTGTTGTTGACTGCTGCTAGTTGTGCGTCTGAAGCATGCTGTCTGTTCCTGATGTTTGTCTGGTATTTGGGTTTTGGCTGTTCCTTTCATTTGTTTGGTTGGTTGGTTTGCTCGTAGGTGTTTTTCTTTTTGGGGGGTTGCGACTGCTTGGTTCCGTTGCTGTGCTAAGAACACAAGGTGTTTTTCAGGTCTCCGCTTTAGCCAGGCATCTCTCATCCATGCTCTTTCTGAGCTGTTGGCATACTTGACGGTAAGCTGATAGTCTCTATCCTTGGTGATTGCAGAATCTGGCATTGCCAATCTTTACAAGACCCACTACAGTAGCCGCATTGCCAAGACACAATGATCCGGTTGTGCATGGCATTTATAGCAGCTTCTGCTTCATCTGGACTAGTGTAGTGCACAAAGCCGTACTGCTTGTAAATGCGCGCCTGTCGATTTTGGCATGGTGCAAAAAGCGTTATGCCAGACATCGGGTCATCAGGTCACCTGGAGCAGGCCTCCCGGGCAAGCTTGACAGAGACAACATTTCCGAACTTGCGGAAAAGCTCTTTCATGCCGTTCTCGTCCATGTCCTGAGCTGCAGCATGCTGAAGCACTCTGTAGCGCTGTAGCAATGCTCAGATGAATACCTGCTATTAGCATAGAATTTTGCTGAGGAGCGGGGGGCAAGCCCGAAACGTATAAGTTGGTTCCTCCGACAGCAGGCCCTGGAGGTGGAGCCGCGCTCCTGCAAAATCCGTAAAGCTCTTTTTGCCAAGCTGAAGGATGTTCGAAGAGTGTTCTGGCAAAAATGAGTGACCAGCTACCCTGCTGGTTGCTTGTCTGTGTGCACGCTTCTCAGAACACATGGGCTCGCAGACTATTGGTGAAGCACATATGCAGACTTTGCTGAAGGCGCGTGGGGGTTTGTTTTGGGTCACCACTCGGAAAGAAGACTCTCGGCCTGGGATGTGGTCCCGTGGTGTCGTTGTTGGCCAGGCGGACCGTCATGGTGTGCCCGTTGAACTCGCGCCCATTCATTGCGCCAATGGCTGCCAACGCCTGGCAGCACCACTCTGCGAAATCCATCTCATACCAGCACAAGGAGAGAGCAGGAGTAGCAGGTGGCAGGAAGAGTAGTGGTAGTAGATGTAGCAGCACTAGTAGCGGCCGCCGGAGTCGCAAGGCGCATCTGGAACAGGTAGACCGATCTATAGCTGTAGCCCTCTCCCTTTATTGCCAAACGCCTCCAGAGACGCCCATAAGGGAACCGTGGGTATCGAGCTTTAACAGCACACGATTTCATAGCAAAGTGTGAACTGAACTCAAGTCAGGCGGAGAAAATGTGGATGGCTTCAAGCTTGCGTATGCTACTTAATGCAGTGGGTGAGGATAGTTGCTGGTGGGAACGGAGACAGGCAAGGCGTGTGAGGATGGGCAATTTTCGTGTCGAAAAAGCCTCATTCACAGCATCATACGACATCCATTCAACGAATCAGGTGGGGCAGATTCCAGGTCAGCAGGTTCATCTGGGACTTGCACTGCCAGCTCGAGTCTTAACGACCCTTGGCAGAAATCGTCAGGCCAACGTCCGGAGCCTGGTTATCATACCGGAACTTCACGAAGCCATAGCTTGGAGCTGTAGGCGTCTTGCCGAAGAAAGTTCGAACGGAGGCCACCTTCCAAACCAAGACTTCCCCAATGTTTTGCGTGTGTGTAGGTACTCGCCAAATTTATGAGTCACAGGACATGACAAGCTGAATGCTGGATGGCGCAGAGCATTTAACCAGTCAAGTTCAGGTAGGTAGTAAACGCCCCAGACTTGGGATGGCTTTAGAACACTGCTCTCTGCCTCAGCCAGGTTGAATGTTTGATCGTGGCTTGTTGGCCCAGCTCCAGCGCTGGCTACTAAGCGGCTCACATACTGGGCGTGTAAAGCCAAGCTAAAGCCAAGCTGCATCGCCGAAATTGTTGAACAGCTGACGCAGTGTGTCCTCGCTGGTGCTAGGAGGCAAGCCAGCGACGTAGAGGTTGCTGTTCGCACCATTGCTCAGTAGATTGCCAGGTAGCATTACGGCCGAGTTCACAGGCGATGTGTCAAGAGCTGCTGACTGTGATTGACTTGGAGTAAGTGAAAGAGCATCTAAGTCCTGTGGTTGGGACTGGGCTTGGGGTAAATGGTTTCGCCAGTTCAGTTTGTGGCTGTGAGTTGCATGTCTGTGTACTATTGCAATGGGCTACGCGCGTTTTGCCAAAGGATACTAGAGGGCAGTTGATCAGGCAGTTCTGGCTTGAAAGCTCTGTCATCCTGCTGCTTGTTTGGCTGTCGTCTCATGAGCCACCTGAAGTGCCTGCAGGTCACGTCTTGTAGACACGGTGAAGGTCCCTTCAGCTCGCATGTCCCGAGAGCTGACTGCCTTGCTTCATCCTGCCTTTTGAGGCCATGTGCTTTGCACAGGCAGACTATCATTGAAAATTCCGTGAAACAGCTCGAGCGGGCCAGCGCCCAAAGGACTCTGCGAACACAGGAACCTTTCAGGCTCAGATGCCAACTGTTGTGACAAACATCCTCAGCTTGTGCATCTCTCGTCTGACGGTGGTCATCTCCTGCTCCACTTGACCGACTATGGACCGGATCATCTGCAAGAGCTTTAGGGATTGAATTGATGAAATGGGTGTATCCATCAGGCAAAGGTTCAGCAAGCCTTCTACAAACTCAATCTGAGTCAGCTGGTTGGTGCCAGCTACATCAAGGTAATCAAAGATGTCAGCCATGCTATCCACGAAGATGGTGTCCAAGACTCTTGGTGGAAGCACGCTCAAGGGCACATTTTGGACCTCCTCACGGGTAAGCAACCCACTGCCATCCTTGTCCAGCGCATTGAAAATCTGGATGAGGGATGGCAGTGCCTGAGTTGCAACACAGCTGATCGCCGGACAATGTTGGACCTCTGAGAGTCTTGGGCTGAAGTTGCGTGAGATCAAACTCGGCTATGCAAGGATCAAGTGAAAATGAAGGCTTGGGTGATCAAGCAATTGACTGGACATCAAGAAAACATGGCTTTGATCATCCATTGTGTCCCTTAAAGCCAAAAGCCTAAAACGCTTCAGCCCACTGAAAACCCTGGATCGGTGCTGCTGCATAGGCCGGTCAAGAAAATGGGGCTGTGTCTTTCTTCTGATACTTCAGTCATGCAACCTTAATGAGATGCTACATGAGCGAATCTTTTCCATATCGCGTTCTGGTACGGAATCTGATTTCGCTTTGATTTCAAGGCTATGAAGTAGCAAGGGTCGTAGCCATGCATAGCATGCAACTTATGTTGTCTTTCTGTACAGCGAACATGTCCCCCCCCCGTTTGACCTCAAAGCTATGGCTATGATAGCCATGGCGTAGCAAGGGGTCAAAGCCATACGTAAAGCCCAGCCCAACCAACACAACATGCAGCGCATATTTTGCTTTTGATGTGGTCTTTCTCTACAACCCTCTGTTTCCTTTCCCTTCTAATTCCTTTCTTTATTCCTTCATGTCTTGGCTTCCTTCTGTTGTTGTTAACAATTTCCTGTGTTTCTTTCTTCTTCTATGGGCTGCTGCACGAGGCACTCTATAGCCCAAGTTGGGCTGAAGCTAACAAACGTTGGAGTACTGCGAAATTGGAAGCCAGATCCCTGTCCGCGCCTCCCACCCCCGCTGCTACCACCAAAGAGAATTTGGGCTCCCAATGACAGCTTCCTCCCTTCTCTAGCCAGCTGTGAAAATCGTGACCGCCCCGTCGGGCGTCATCTTCCCAAAGATATGTAGCAAAAACCTGACTGACCCTGACTAGGACCACTAGGACATGATCCCTGACCCATGGATGCTACTGCGGGCAAATCTGTACGCACTAATCCTTCAGCAGCAAAGGAAGACATGAACTGTGTGGATCCGTTTGTGTCTTTGTCTGTCTCGTTCCGGCTATACGTTGTTCCTGGATTTCTGTATGTTTTCCAGTGCTTGCTGATCCGGACCTGCTTATGTCTTTCGATGTCTCATACTTGGAATATGAGCCTACTGACTCAGAGGCCCGATGCTCGTTCATCCCCACTTTGTTCTTCTTGACAGTTGCTTGATGTTTTGATTCTTCCTGCTGGGACGTCTGCTTGCATCATTTTCTGAGCTCCTGACTCCACGCACCCTCTTTTTCAACTTCAGACGTTCCTCTTCCGCTTCATGTGCTGCCGTCTCCATGGCATTCTCGACTAGTGCGGCTGTGACTAGGTTCATCAGGCCAACGGATAGGAAAATCAGGATTGGCACGAAGTACAACACCAACCAGGGCTTGTTCACGATGAGAGGATAATAGACCTCCGCAATGGATTCCAGCGTTACAAACTGTATCAATGTCAAGAGCGACATATTGAGGCCATCGAACCGATTCTTGACAATATCACCAGTTTCATCTAAATCCTTCAGGTAGGAATCTTTGGCAATCAGCTCGACTGCCACGCAGGCAAAAATGAACAAGAAAATTGCAATGAGCGCTGTTGTCGAGATAATGGTCTGCCCGGCACCCAACATACCATAGACAAGTCTCCAAATGAGCTTGAAATGCCGAAGCATCCGCAGCGCCCGCACCAAGCGAAACAAGCGAAATCCACGGACCACAAGAACAGAGTAGAAACCATCCGCGTTCGTTGTAGGCCCCGCCACTCGCGGGACGATTTCAAGTGCAAGCAAGCCTATGAAAATCAGAGCCATGTCCATCCTTGGCTGAGATCGTGGCATGGACTTCGAATCGCGCTCTGCAGCATGTCCCTAGGCCCGGCTATTTGAGGTACAGTCTGCCAAGCAAAGTAACCTAATGAATCATGGCCCGGCGTCAGGAACCACAGGTCTTTGAACACAACGCAGCCCAAGCCGACTGTGCGCAGCGTGGCCTCTACGATGTAGATAACAAGAAAAATGCGCTCCACTCCTCAAGCACATGTATGAATTGCTCTGTCACGGCCATTGACCTGACCTACTTTGCCAAGGTGCCTGCCGGGTTTACGGGCTAGTAGAGACTTACAGAAAAGCTTGCAGAACATCTGTCCTCCCGGCCAAAAGCCCTCTGCATAGGCTTGCTGGTTCTGAAGGGAGATTTGGGCCTCCACACCAATAAAGATCAAGTTCCTGGGCACAAGCAGGGGTCAAACCTCGGAGAATCTCGGAGATATCAATTAGTCTGTGCCTTTTACATTGCAGTGAAACTGACTACAAGCATGCTGTGCTGTGCCAGGTTCAGCAGGATAAGCATGCCAGCAACGAACTCGAACCAGTTGGAGCGCACGACAGCCGAGATGGCTTTCCGCACCATAGCCGTGCGCGAGGGATTCTGGGGTGCCACTGCCTGCCCAAGCCAGGCAACAACGAAAGTCTGTGCGACCCTGCAGCTGAGCCATGCAAATAGCAAATGCCATGTGCTTGGCCAGCCTCGGCATCGGCATCATGGAGCACCTCCGACACCAACTTGCGTAAAGGCCCAGTAGGGAGATTGTGGACCATCGACTTGCGTGGCCTCTGCTCATGCTATGTCAAGCCAGAAGGAAAGAACTCACAGCACATGAAGCCAGCCCATGCGTCCAAGTTGCTGCAGCAAGGATTCTGCGCTACCTGACCTTCTAGTTTCCTTCAGGTCTTCGCTGTCATCCACAGGGCTTTCGGGCTGCAGGCTTTGAATCGGACTCAGGCTTTGCCTGATATTTGTCTGTGGCACAAGCGGATCGTTCAGCCCAATAGAATCACCCAAATCGCTGTCAGCAACAGAAATCTGATGGGACGAAGTTGGATCCACAAACTTGATGGCCGCACGGGCAGGCGCTTCCCCTGCAGCAGCTTTGCACCTGGGAAAGATTTGAAAAGCCACCTGAAACTGAAGGTCCCCAGTGCACCATCAAGCTGAGAGGCTGTAATGGGCTTTCTGGAATTGGTGAAAGAGCTGGAGCCAGCGTCAGGGCACGGATGCCAACCAACAACTCATCCACAGCTTGGTGCAACTCCCTGTGTTGGTCCCGGAGCAGGTCAAGGCTAGTTGAAGAAGCCTCTGTAGGCGCGAAACACTCTGAAAGAACATGGCATATCAGTTTCACTTGCTGAGACAACAGCTGAAGCCCTCCCTCAGCTACTATCATTGTGTGGGCTTGAGGTGGTGCTGACAGGAAGCCCTCTGCTGCTCCTGCATCTCTGAAAGCTTTATCAAGACTTCGGAGGTATTATCAGGGATGGCCATGGCACACGGGGCCCAAGGGCCAAGAAAGGGGAAGTTTGTTGGGGCGAAATCAGGAGTATAACCTGGGCTATCGGCTGTCGCATGAGCTCAGGATAGGACTGGCTTTATCTCTCAAGTTTGTGAATCACATTTTTTTCCTGAGCCACATGTGATTGCTGCTCTGGGCGGCGTGTGTGATCTGAATGACGATGACTTGCAACCCGAATTCGCAGTGTGCACAGGCTACGCGATCTCCTTTTACTGTCACTTAGTTCAGGGTGGTGGTGCAGCAGCAGGGCTGCGTGAAACACGCATGTTCTGAGAAACCTTCATCATGGCCACATCTTGTAATCTTGTCTGCAACTGCTCAAACATACAAACAGATCTGTCATTCAGGACGGCATTTCGTTGGGCATTGTCTAAGACCTAACTTCAGCCGGAACCAAAGCCTTTGGCTTAGGGTGCAACGGCTGCTTCAAACTCACACCACCTCGTTGTGGCCTACCTCTACATCACCTATTTCTTGCAGCTGCATCTTCAGAGCTGCGACATCTTTTTCCACCTTGCCCACTTGTGACCGGATTAACTGCAACAGCCTCAGCCGGGCCACATCCATGCAAAATGCGGTTTTGCCAAATGAACTAGCCGCCCCTAAAATTATCTGAACTGCAATATTCTAGCTGAAGTGGCTTTAAAGACTGGATGGTCGAGATGGGCATGTCCATCAGGCAAAGATTTAGCAGCCCTTCCACGAACTCCATCTGCGAGAGCTGCCCTGTGTAGTAGTGGTAGACTTTGGCACGCATCCACTCTGCAAACATCACGTCGCACGTCGTAGTAGTAATTAGTAGTAGTAGTAGTA